GTAGGCAACAGATGCATTCAGAAGATGCGTTTCTGGCTAGCTTCCAGGTTGCAATACATCCAGCGTAAAAACAACATTAGAGCATGAATTCAAAGCTGGAAAGGTTAGCTAGATCCCTTTTAGCATCCAAAAGAAAACGTCTACCGGCGTTTCACAAGGTTTTTGTGCTATGGCAAGTCAAGGAATTTCCAACAATTTTCATACTGTGAGAACGACTCCTCTGGGTTGCACGCTGAAAAAGCTGAGGAAACCGCTAAAGATTTGATAAATAAACCCGTTTGCAAATCAATTTGGTCTTCACGCGGGACTCAACTGAATCTCTCATTTATGATGTTCTACAATTGAATGTGCTGTACACAGGCCGCCTGATGTTTCATTTGGCACGATATTCGGGATATCGCAGTATGGTCGTTGGCTTGTTTGCTGAGTTGGTCAATTTGATTGCAAACGTTTCGTCACCAATCGAGGTGAAATCATCAGTGCATTATTGGGGAGCGTAGTTGTGCGTGGTTATGCACAACCACTAACCCACCGCTACGCACAACTACGTTCCCCAATAACGCACTGATGATGTCACCTCGATTGGTGATGAAACGTTTGCAATCAAATTGACCAGCTCAGTGGACAAGCCAACGACCATCTACGCTACCTGAGCTACCGACATTTTCCTCTATAGAATATCGCAGTATATTTTTACGAAGGAAACTACTCGCAAGGTCGCTGAAAACTCTTCGACTGCCCACAACCGGTTTCACCCTTCTTGGGGCTCATCGGGTAGGCGCAGTCCCCTAGTTTCCGTCAACCTTATGTTCTACTTGAACCTGCTCTACCCGATGAGACCCAAGAAGGGCGAAACTGCTCATGGGCTGTCGAAAAGTTTTTAGCAACCTTGTGAGTAATTTTCTTTATGAAAGGTGAAGATTTGCTTTAACGCTTCATCTCCAGATACTATGTGTTGGCAACACAGAGATAAGAAAAGATTGACTTCAGGGCCCCTAAAACAAACCTGACACATCGTTTCTACCTAAACCATTTTCGAGTATTAACTTAAATAAAAAGCCATTTTTGAACTGTCCAGCTGTCTGGCATATTCTGAGGAGACTGACATATACTGTGCTTTCTTCCGGTAACATGTGTAATAAAATGTAAAGTAGTAACTAAACTGTTGGTGCCTTTTCAACTGTTCGATTATGCTGCAAATTCCGAAAAGTTCAATTGTCAGTTCAGGCTCTTCACACACTGGCTCACGTCACTATGCCCGTTTCGAGTCACCCTACTGACCTTCTGGCGTTTTTTTCAACGCGATCTGTGCATTCTGTACATCAAAAATATTCTTTCTACTCCGAATGAGTGATTTCATATATGAATTATCGAACACCATTATTTTATCAGAGAACATTTAACGTGTTGATCTGTATTTTCAACAAGTTTCTGACGATTTTTACAAAAATGAACGTTAAGCCTTCAACAGTGTTCTGCTTTTAAACTGGTTTGTATGACCAGTTCATATGGGTCGCGATCAAAGCCATGTCGGCCACCAACAGTAAAATGGACAGGATTGTGATCAGCGTTCGCGGTGATCCTTCGAAATTGCCGCTTCGGGCGCCTTACAAGAGGCTGTGAACTGTCGGACCATAGACAAGTACCGGGCAGTAAGACTGAGCGGATGAGGACTATAGGTACTGTGTTGATAACTAGGTCTGGGGAAAAAGGGCTTTCAAACGGATATGAATCAGGTAGATTGTACAGGCAATCATAGTTGAGGTGATGGGAACACAAAATGGGATGTGAGACAGCAAAATGTAATAGATATTGGGGGTCGGAGAGCAGAGAGTATACAAGGACACCAGTGAGGAATGCTCAAGAACAGGAGAGTGTTCGCTACAACAGTTAACAGTCAAATTCGACCCAAAAATCAATAAAATTTCAGTCTTTCACTGACAACAGAACATTAAGTTGCGCATAGGCCCAAGTAAACGAAAATACCAACCAACAGATAGCCGGCTCAGTCCGGTGGCCAGCAAGCTTGTCTGCCATCCAAGAGTTTCGAACTCGATATCAGGGTTGGCCATCTTACAGGCAGAGCAGATATTTGAAGAAGTCCAGGGTCCACACGAAAGATGTGAAAATGGACAGAGAACAAAGTTTTAATGGATGGTTTCAAATCAGGGTTGGCCATCTTACAGGCAGAGCATATATTTGAAGAAGTTCAGGGTCCACACGAAAGATGTGAAAATAGACAGAGAACAAAGTTTTAATGGCTGGTTTCACAGGGAAGTAAACCTAAGGTGGGAGCATAAAACGGAGCGAGCAACAGGGAAGTAAATCCATCTTACGTTGGACAACTCACACTACTCATAAGCAGCCAAAAAATGGAAAAATTATCTCCGAGTGTCGTTGATTCGCACAGAAAGAATCAGCAACCGCTATGGACAAAAAGTTGTGTCCTCGTGGGCGGCTTTTGTTCAATGTAAAATAGAACAAAAAGTCCTGAAGGGGTACACAATAGCCGCCGTTTCTAATGCACTCCCAAATCGGCGCTGTTTGTAGATGGGCAATCTTTTGACGTGACTAGGAACACTAGTAAGCACACAGGAAAGCGAAATTGGCTACATTTAGTCCACAAAAGATGCCCAGAACCACGGTTTTCTCTTTTGGCGATTGAATTTAAAACAGGTGGCAGTCAGTTTGCATAGTTATTGAGAACTCAACTTTTTT